GTGCAATAAAACGATCAATAAAAAGTCTTGATAAATATTTAAAAAAAATGCAGTGAGCTATTTTTCACTAGATTATAATTAAGGTAGATGTGCCGAGAGCTAAAATTACAGCTTCCCGAGCTTTGAGTAACAAAAAATTGTATAATTTCAAAATTTGAACTTATTCTACATAGATCTAGCAGTACTTTGCATGGTTCTAAATAGTTGCCGATAGATATTCTCCGCGCTATTCTCAACGTGGCGATTCAATGACGTTACTGCATAACAATGCAAGATTGCAGCGCACATATGCAAGTGCGCGCTGCTGCTTCGCTAATGATGAGCGTACGCGCTCGAGCGACCGCGCGGCAAGTAATTGAGTAAGCCATTGCGAAGCGTGAAATGCTCAATCGTAAGTAAATTACAGGGCCTGGGTTATTGAATAACATGGTACATAAACGTAATGAATAATTACCAGGCAATTATGCCGATGTGTATAACACTATCCCGCTCGCGATACACAAGTAAGCGTATCGGACGCGTGTGCGTATACATTGGCCAAACATTTTTCCGTCTTACCCGACAAAACACGACCTGACACCGGGCACTAATAGCCGGGAACAAGGAGTCTGCAATTGGCAAGGGACTTATGCTTCTTTATGCGAGTTCCGACTGTAAGGAGTTCCCTACGACGTTACTCAACCCTGACGAGGCAAGTTTCCCTCGTTCGCGATCGTATCAATACAGTTAATTATATTATATGCGAGATTACGGAAATATTTTTGCTTTTTTATATGCTATTAAATTTATTTGTATTATAAAGTCATTAACTACGCAAAGTACTATTTTTTAAATAATAGTTTTATTTTAATAACTTTTCGTTACAATTTTACCAAAAAACTCCTTTAGTTTAGCACAAATTCCACGTTTATCTAGAATTTTATCTACTAGTATGTATTATACTTGTTATGAATACAATTACATTGAATATAAAAACGCAATAAAATAAAAAGTATAAGAAATCTTTTTAAATTATTAATCTATGGTACTATAACCACATCGCGGATAATATCATGCTCGATGTAAGCATGCGTCGCATTTGATTCTACTTTCGGTGCATTTAATTGCGACGACGTGTCGTCGCACAAGCATCGCCGTAAAGCAAGATCAACGTTATATCGTTTTGGGTAACATAATTTACGATAATAAATGCACACGTGTATATTATATATGTTGTGAAGCAGAAGGCTGCTAATAAGTGGAAGCGAATCGGCGCAGCTGCCGTGCGAGAGATGCATCGACGTAATGCATGCCGACTGTGCCCTCTTCGATTTTAATTACATCCGACCGGTGAGGACGAGAACATCCGTCTATCCATCTCCTCCGGCGCGTTCCTCGCAACGGGATTCGACTTAGGAAGTAGTTCGCCCGTCTTCTCCTCCTCGGTCACCTTGACAATTTCACCGTGGTTCTTTCTCCGCGGAATGATCCCGCGGCAATTGAAGTTAAATGACGATTTTCTAGAAAGTGGCCGGTAATAAATTCGCTCTGCTAATTGTTAAGTACGCGGCGACTTCTTGCACGTAGTCGGGAAGCCGGGAAGCCGGGAACTACGTCTTACGCAATCCTAGCTCTTATATATCGCTGCGTTTGCAGACAGCATCACGACACTATTCAATAAATATCGTTATTCTCTCTCATGACGCATGTTTTATACAAGAAACTGTCTTGGGGGGCGTAGAGAAGTTTGTTAGCTGAAAACCTATTCGATTTATAAAATTGTACACGAGGCGATAATCTTGAGTAGATGATTAAATTTTCTTAATATTAATTATGAGATATCCCTATACACATTAATTTTTGTTTTAAACCTTTTACATTCGAGTGGTTCTTTTCAATAGCTGGTGCGATTTGTCAAACAACGTCTGATGCCCACCTATATTGGTGATAGTACGCGTCACGCCTCGTTGAGGAAATGACGTCAGGCTATTGCAAAGAACGCATCGTCAACGTCGGAATGCGCATTATGACAGAATAGGCAAGATAACGGCTAGGGAGTTCGTCCTTAATAATTGATCGACGTTAAATATGTATATATAAAGGCTTTATTTCCCTACTTTAGTAAATTCTTTCTTTTAATGAATCTCTCGTTTGTGTATGCAATCAAGATAAAGATATGACGTTAAGCATGTATCATTAATATTGAATATAATAGAGTGATAACGGTATCGCATAGAAAATGCTTCCGTATATAAATGTTTAATACATAAATATATTAATATTTATTAATATTATATCGTAATTATATGTAATTCTTTTGTGCAAAGTTTTAAATACATAAAAATAGAGAGCTGATTCTGCCATCTTGAGGGAGACAATCCAACTGCTTGAATTCTATAGTATCTAAAAATCAATGGACTCAACTGAATAATGTGCCATCGTATGATTACAATTTTCCCTTTCTTTCCCTTTCTCTGCAAACTTTCGGGAACATTAATCTCACTAATTATAAAGATAAAATGGCAGGAGGAATACAATTAAAACGTGCGATAAAAAGTGTTAAATTAAATAAATGAAGTCATATCGCTAGCTCAACGAGGAAAATAATTCTTCTATTTGATGGTTTGCGAAACAATCGTGGTAACGATCACAGAGCTGTTGACCGACAGGCGAAGATGATACTGACCCTGCAACTTCTTCGCGACACGCTCGCGACTACTACTACGTCGCGAAAGAAATTGCTCCGGCTAAGCGGCTGCATAAAGAATGCAATTAAGCGAATCATGTATTGTAATTAACGGCCATTCTCTTCTTTTAGCCGATGCGCTTCTCGTCAGGTGCGTGCAGACGCGCACACTCGAGCAGACATAATCCGCTCTCTTCTTCTTCTTCTTCTTCTCCCGTTACACCGCTCGTCTATCCCTTCCACGAGCGATGCGAGTCAGCTGTTACCGTAAGCATCGCGCGAATTAATAAGTTAGTTTAAAAATAAAAGCAAAGGGAAGAGAGAGAGAGAGAGAGGGGGGGAGAGAGAATATTACTTTAGATTAAAGATATTAAGTACATTTTGTCAATGTTGTGCTTCATTGCCATAAGAAACTGAAATTTCCTTCAATAGTATTTATTTTTATAATATTTTTATAATTTATTAATCTCTGCCTAAATTAATTTTACAATCGTTACATCGATTTACATGAAACAACGATACAAAATAAGATTATATTACGTGCATCTGTTTTTCTTATTAACTTTTCTACCACTTTTATTGTCGATTAGAAAAGTTAGAAAAAAAATCTAGCAAGAAAGTTAAACTCACCGAAATTATATCAGTTTCCACAAGTTTCGATCTCCATTTGGGATGCAAGCGAGCATTATATTCACCGCGATGCTGCTGCATCATCGGTTATAATTTCAGCAACAACAACATAATCACAATAATCCATCAGCCGTTGTCGCCGTCAGTCGGTGCGCGATCTTTTACGTTCGATTTGCGAGACTCGAAATGCCAATTAAAACAAATAAGCCAGTCGTTCCTCTCGAGCCGAGTCCGATTGACAGTGTCGATCCAAATTCCCCGCGGGGACAATCGTACGTGAAATACATATACCGAGAAAGGTGCGGTCATATTTTCTTAAACAGTTTCACCTTTTTTGTTTTTACCTTGTTTTATTTATTTGTGCAACAAAATTGGTGTACGTCACTTTACGTAATCCTTTGAAATTGTGAATGAGATAAAGGTATAACAGTACCAATACTTTGAATACGATCGTACAATATATTTTTGAGACTTTATAATGAAAAATGTTAATACTTATCGTATCGAAGAAAGTATAATTGAAACTAGTCATGTGCGAGGATAAAACAAGATTTCTAGCTTTGTATTATATCTCTCAAGTGATATGAGCGTATCAAAGATGGATCGGAGGATATCCGGAAGATACGGGCCAGGTGACTAATTGACAGGGACGATCGCCAATCAGAACAGGTCGAGGGAGCCGAAAGTTGACTCGCGTCGGTCGCAAATTCAATTAAAAGTTGCGGTTATTAGGTTGGACAATGAGTCCCCGGAGTCTGAGCGCTCGACGATAAAGGAGCAGGGATCCGCGGAGAAAAAAGGACGAAACGTAAAACTGATGGGGTCCTTGCTGATTCCGCTCGGCTGCCACCTTGATTAAGCTCTTCGCGACGCTTCGAGAAAATATAATGACTTCTTTGCTCTGCAAACGCCGTCGAATGAATTCTCCGTCCCCCTCAGCTTCCTCGCTCCCACCCAATAGAAGACACACATCCACCACGGTAAATCAGCCGCACGGATGTGGCGGAAAGAAAGCGGCAGTTTTCTTGATTCTCTTTCTTTTGCGCGGCGTCATCAACTGCTGGCCAGAAATCAGTTAATTGTCACGTGGTGTTTGTCAATGCGCGTTTATTCTCTAACCACAGCAGAGTACTAATTTTCTTTCAACTTTAAACATGATTACATTAGTTTTGTCTATTTTTGAAAATACGTGAATCTTTTTACACATTGTATATGTGTGGTAGGTATATCTTGTTAGAAAGAATACACCGAAGTGGGATTCAATTTGTTGTAATGTTAATAAGTCTATTATACGTCTTATTATAATTTTTGGTTGAGTGTGCAACATTATTTTTCTTTAAAAAGAACATCAGAATATCCATTACTTATTACGTTACTGTTTTATTTGGCTTGGTAATAAAAGCTTTCCTGCTTGTTACAACGCGTCATAATAAATACCTTGAAGAAACATAATTCTCGTGTATCATTCGTAAACATTTAGGAGATAATTTCCCTGATCGTTTTTAATACAAAAAAAGAAATCTTGCCACCGACATCCTGCAGTACGAAAGTCTCGCGGATGATTCGTATAATTTTCGCAAAATACTAGAAAAAGTTGAAAAACGCGTGCAATTAATCATCCGGATCAAGAAAACCGACGAAGAAGCGCTTATGCGTCTCGGTTTATTATGATAATCGGTGACTTAATTAAGACCTCACGGTATAACGCGCCCGGATAAGAGGCAGTCACAGGCTAGGTCTAAACAACGCTACGGGAATGGCCTCCCCGAATTGCTCGTGGTCGGCAATCTTGGCCGGAGTCTCGGGGCTGAGATTAAGGGAATAAATATCCAGGCCCGATAATTGTATTGGTAGTTTCAGTAACTAATGATCTAAAAGTCGTTAGCACAGCCGATCGTGAAGGGTGTTACGAGCCTTATACTTTGGCACCCGGGTAGCTGTGTACGGGGTGCAGCAAAGGGTTCCCGGCGCTCCCGGCGAAAATGAAACCAAGACTTACGTACATTTATCGACGCACAACCAATTCGAGGTTTGCACGATGGTAATTCACGATCGGTCGATCGACAAGCGTGATGAATTGGTCGAAGAAGACGTATCCATAGACGAAGATAGAAGTGCAAATAAGGATTGGCATTCCTAATACAGATAATGCAAAAGAACTAGTTTGGATAATTTACATATATTTCGTTTGAGACACGTGGTCAAAGGTTTTGTTGTAAGTCAATACACTGCGATAAATTTTCTAATATAATTAGAAACTTAGTGCTATAACAATAATACATGAGTAATAATTTAACCGTGATAATTAAAAGCTCTAGAACTTTTAGTAAAAGGTCATTAATTCCTCTTTTTTTATAAAGACTCGATACAAACATCTGTTAAGGTCAAATTTAATTAATTCTAATAAAATGACAGAAATGTCACAAGTATATATGCAATTGTATTACGTGCTCTCATGAAACTGGAAATACTATGCGTCTTGGGTGATCCCCATGGGGGATCGCGTACAAGCGCAATAGAAATGATTTTCACGAGTATTGTTTCGTATTGATTTACGTTCGCGAGAAAAATATCAACATTGTACACGCGGTAAGAATCATCTAAGATGTCGGGCTGACCTCCCGACCTCGAGGAGAAACGACTGGAGACATAATTTCTGCGTTCGAGAAGCGCGCGATAAATAATGCGAAAGTGAAGTCTCTGCATACGCGTACGCGCCCTCGGTACGATAGTACAACGCGACTTACGAGACTGCAACTTTTGCCTGCTCGGTGCTAGATTCTGTGCCCAGCAGGACGTCCAACATACGATATTTCCATGGCGTTCGGTACAACTGTAATAGAGACGCGACTCGAACAATGTATAAAACGATCACAATAACCACATTTAATCCGCCTTTAATTGAAAACTTACTATGCCTGAGCAGCATCACCCGACGGTAGGGAGTTACAGAGACTCGCACAGTGCAAACTCTGCTATCTATCATAATTTGTACAAACAGTTCCCGATTAGACATAGACAGAAATCATAGCGTGACGAATAAATATGGCTCTTGCAAAAGCAAAAGTAATACGCGAACGGTAATTATACGTAAGGAAATATTTACGTGAGTCAGCAGCGCATACGTGTCAGCGATACGTCGTTATCGCTGTTATCAGTCGTTGCGCGAAATGTTTCTATCTCATCAGAGCGAGTAAAGAGAACCGGGATGATAGGAAAAATAAACCGGATCGTAGATACGCGATGCACTTTTAATACGGACGATCCGCCAGCGCAGACAGATTTGATGCATCGGTGGATAAGTAGCCGCGAGTTCTCACTTCATTTATCAAGGAACTGGCCCACCTGTCGTCGCCTCGCTGCCTCCATTCACCGGCGGCCGAAGCGTTTGCCCCGACAGACCGTGCATCTCGATGCATCTGGTCGGTGCGCAGCACGTGCATTAGATACTCGCGGATTGTACAACGGTTACGGCGTGCGAAAGGTGTGCGATACGATAAAATACGAGCGAGTGATTTAACGGATGATCTCAGCTCGCACCGTGTCTGATAAGATTCGCGATATTTTTCATCGGGCTTCTCGCCGCTTGTCGAGGGGAATCACCGGGAATTTATGACTCCGCATACGTCGCCCGTAATTATACGATCGTAATAAGTGCCTCGAACGGAGTTCTTTCGGAACGTGCATAAAGATATGAGGCACAGGCGTCGATAGAGAAAACACAATCGCAAAAATTATTCAACTCTCTCACTTAGATAACAGATCCGAGTATCACGCGCGGAATGGCGCAACGAATAACAAACACGATCTCAAGAGAGAAATAATACGTACGCAGCGCGTCGCAAATTATCAGCGTATCGACGTCCAGCGTAACGATCGGCCCGATATAACGAGGAGTCCTGACGGGCTTCGCCTTCCGGGACACTCGAGTCCAGCATCGGCGCGGTCCGAAAAACCGACCCGTCCGCAGGATACGCGGGAGAGACGGAGAGAAAAGGACGACGGCAGAAGGAGAGGAGGGCCGAGAGTGCACTCGGCGGCTGCGTAAATTATCTCGGCGGTGTGTATTTACTCGGAGATTTACAAGCGGGCAGCGCGCATTTGATTTACACGCCCGTGCGCCCGTAGCCACGCTGAAACGGCTAAAAGGGTTCTCGAGGTGAAATATGCAACAGGATGCGCCAGGACCCCTCGGACGCCATCCACCGGGCGTCGTCGCGCTCGCTGCGTTCGTAGCTCGCGCGCGTCTGGACACATCTGCGCGCGCTTCTGTCAACGATGAGCCGCCCTGCACAACGTAACGAATCTATCCCGTCGAGATCTAGGCGTATATTTGCGTGAAAGGTTGTCACACGAATTAATATTCTATTAAATTAATAATTACTGCTAATGAATGTGTAAATAAATGTAGCACGCGGGTGGAAACGGTCGAAACAGCAGAAATACCGAATGTATCTATCGACCTATAGTCCGTGTCGCTGATCCATAATCAATCCGCCGGAACCGCGGTGGGCGTTCTCACCGAAAGGATACTTTTCTCCCGGCTCGCCAGCGAAAGAAAGGATCAGCGCGTGGATGCAGTCCGGGGCTTTGGGATGCAGCGCGAGAAGACGACCGGTAAACGACGACCGTTCATACATCGGCCGGGCTATGAATCGTCGGAGCGTGAGATCGTAAAGTCGTCCTTATCATCGTCTGCATCTTAATGCAGGATACCCCGTACGTTACGTGTAACGTTGAGCGTACGTTACCGCGCAATGTTACTCGCGTGTGCTTCCACATAGACACGGTTGCCGGGCGGCGGCGTACGTTATGGCGTTTCGCGGGATGAAGAAGAGGTAGGATCGCGCAAGGAAGAGAAATCTCGGAACGAGGAAGAGATGGTGGAAGAGGAAGGAGAAGCGGACCGTATGCAGAGCTGGGCAGGCCGGGGCACAGGTGTCCGACGCTTCAAACAACATCTTTATGCCCCGCTCTTAACCCTAACCAGCTCGCGCGCTCTCTCCTGTGTGATAATATATTTCTTCGGTGTATACACGCGCATGCACATCGGCATATCCGTTATTTAATGCGTTATTCGTATGCGCATGTATCCGGGAGTATTAGATAGTCTCGTAGAATAGGCTGCTTCCGTCGTTTCAATATCGAAAATCTGAACTGAATCGGAGGAACTTGGTAGAAACGACAGCTGTTTGAAGTTTTGAAGATTTCACTTTTTTTTCTTATTTGTGTTAGATAAATTGTACAATATCGATCATCAATTTGAAGATTTGACGAGGAACTATTATTTTGCTAAAGCTGGTATTTTAAATAGTTAAATGTCGCGATAAATTCGCTTAATTAGGATTAAACGGAAAGCAAAATTTGTAATTTATCAAAGATTAGTTTCTTCAAATTGCCAGTATAATAATAAAATTCCAAATTTATAAATTTTCTGCATTAACCGATTAATTAACAAATGTGGCCAGCAGTGGTCGAATGAAATTTGGAATTTTTTCGTAATTTATCTTTTGGAACTAGATTTTGGATCATATGTGAACTGACAGACAATCCATACACATATTTGGAACACGGATTTTTAATACTACGATAGCATCATTTAAGTTTTATTATTCTCTTCTTAGACACATATTTTATTTTTATGATCCAATTACAACATGTAAATATCATCATCCATTTTAATTTTCATTATGTTAACGAATACGCTGTTTTCCGATTTAACACGAAATAATATAATAAGCTTACGATTCATAAATTAGAAAACATATTAGAACACACAGTGTTGCATATTTAAAAAAATATACGGAAATAATTACCGAGAACGTTTACTGGCTTGCAGTAGATGGCATACGTAGATAAAATGGCCATAGCGTAGCACCGTGGCGTTAATAGCTCCGTGTAATTATTTCGTAACACGAGGATGCGACGTTCGCTAAACAACCAGTCGACAACATCGCAATTATCCCCGCTGATTTGAGATCCGATCATTGCCTCGAGCGCGTGCTGAGACTATACTCGCATGATAAATTTCCACCCCGCTCATATTAAATAGTCTGGAGAGTTTCCTCTTCACGTATATCGATTTTTGGCTGTTTGGTGATGATTCCAACCTTTACCTATGCAAAAATATGTTAATTAATTTATTTAACCGTACATCGATTAATTGACAAATTCATAAATATAGCATACTTATCATTTGAAGCGTTAGAAAAATAGGTATCGGCGTAAAAAATTTGTCAAGTAATTTTTCTGATCTCCCTCGCTATCCTGCCGTCTCAGAATGACAATTCGCGGACGATCGACGTTGCCCGCGTGCCTCCTTGGTTCCTGTCTAGATTCCAGAAACAATTCCCATCATACGCCGCCTCGTCTTGTCGTCGGTCTCCGGGGATTCCAAAAAAGCGTGCTCGTCATCATCGCATATCCCGACGATAGCGCATTCAAATAAAGGCGAGGCCGGTGCGCTCTCCGAGAGAGCTGGTGACAAGGCCCTGACGCTACCCGCTTTTGATGTCGCCGCCGTTGTCGGCACATCTGATTAGCATCCTCCTTCTTCTTCCGCCGCCTGCTCTACCTCGCTCCACTTCCCCTTTCGTCACGTGGAACACCGACGTGGAACGGAAAGAACGGCGGCGGATCGCGGTGAATATCAGGAGAGAGGGGAATGTGGAAGGGAGTCCGCTGGATGTCACTCTGGACCGCGTTGACTGAGCCTCGTCCTTTTCCTCCATCCGTCCATCTAACTCGTCTCTAGTCTTTCCTTCGATGGCAGAGAAGACGAGCGAGAAACAAGAGGGACGAGGGGAAAGCGCGCCGCTCTGAGTTATTCCTGCCAGTGATTTTCTCTCTCTCTCTCTCTCTTTCTTCTATCCTGTCTCTTTCTCGACTTGAGCCACGGCGACATCATTTAAATGTTCCTTTGCGAAGCGCGTCCGCGGGTTTTTAGTTCCCTCGTCTCTAAGAAGCCAACGGCCCTGGACGACGAGAGGATACGAGAGTAGCCTAGAGATTGAGCTGGTATGAAACGGATACCGGTGCGTGGAACAGGACTAGTTTTCTTCGGCATTCTTGGGGATTTTCCAGGAAGGGAATTAAAGCAGTGTCGATCAGAAAACAACAATTATCTATATCTGTTTTTGGATGAATTATATATCACTGTCAGAGTATACATTATCGAATCATAATTACGGCAATAATACAGTTAAACGATATCGTGGAGAAATGTCTAAGAGAAAGACGTTCTTTCATATTTTCTCTACACGTTCTTTAAATGTCATTTAAATTTCGATATTGCGAGGTAGTCTCTGCCTGGTACAGCGACGCCGTCAGCAATGACATTGCATTCCGCGTGCTCTTGTATCGACGGCCGAGGGAGACGAGAGGATACGTTTAAGAGCGTCTTCGGTAATTGTCATTTCTGACCAGCTTGACATACCTACCGCACCCCGAACAGCCCTCATTCTCCTCATAATAATATGCGATCGCGACAGAGCGGTGTCCTCTGTGTAACCGTGACTTGGACCGAGTTCCTGTCGAGGGCCCGGTTGTCTAATAAAACGATCGTCGTTTATCGTGCAATTATGCCGTCTCATTAATCCACCGGCAATTATGTTCCCTCCACCCTTTCCCGAACCCCTCTCTCTCTCTCTCTCTTTCTCTCTCCGTGCCTTCAGCCATCTCGATTACCGCATATCCCACTCTTGGCTTGGACTTCTGGGCCGACCTATCGCTCATCTTGCTCCTTCCTTCCGTGGTCGAGAAACCTACGCGGGTGGGAGAACAGCGCCACAGAGTCTTATCCGCCAGTTTCATAACTTATGAACGTCGGCGTGCACATGCAGCAATGTTGGGACAAGCGCCGACGTCGTTTCTCTCATCGTCGGAAGCGGCAATTACACCCTACTTGGAACCAAAGGACTCGCCCGGCCGCTCTTTTTTTCCCCCCGATCCGGGAAGAAATCGAGGTAGAAGCAAAGATATGGTCGGCGACAAATCGTTGATGAATATTTTTCGAGTTGCGCGGTCAGAGAGACTCTCATACCGCGACCAGTTCTCCAAGTATTCCCGAATCCTTATAAAGAGCTTATCCATCTAAGAATCCATCTTAGAAATTTCTATTGTTTTCTAAGCAATTAAGCAGATTAAATTTTCTAAATAATAAATACAGAGACTCTTGTGACTTTAGTGCAAGTTTTCTCTGCCACCATTTAAATTTAATTTACTACATATCTAAATCATATGAACTTAGCTTTGTCGGATTCAACTTTGCCACCTATTAGATCATTTTTTACGTTGAAACCAGACGCAATACTTACCTGCATTTCTAATTATAGTTCCGATGATTAGCGTAAGAAAAATCAATCGCGATACGGGATTCCTTCTGAATGGGGAAGATCGGCGGGAGGAACGAAACAGAAGAATAAGAATCAGTAGCGGTCTTTTATGAATGAAAAAAAATATCCAGCGGGATGGCGATGACGCTTCGGCATCAGCGTTCCTTCTACCGCGGCAGCAACGGTCGATAGCAGAATAACGTCAGTCGGCGGCGCTTTTGCCACGATGTAGATTTGTTTGCATTTAAAAATCAAATTGACCGCGCTCCCTCCACCTCGCTACCCTCGCTCTTTTCTCGGTAGGACGTGGTGCCGGAGGTTGGTATGCGTTAGCTCTATACTGCGATGAAACACAGAAATACTCTTCGTTTCTCTCTGCTACTCTCTTTGCCACAGACAATCTCTCTCTCCCTCCCCCCCCCTCTCTCTCTCTCTCTTTCCGCGCTCTCAGTTGGGGACAATGCACGCCAGTTTTTGCGTCGTTTGCTTCCACGGAGACGGACGATGGATCTGCCGGCAGCTCCGCAGCCTCTCCCCCCGTTTTCCTCCATCCGCCCGTCCGCGGATTCTCTTCTCCTTCTTCTTCCTCTTTCTTCGCGTCCGCGACGTCGTTCCTTTCTCTTCTTCTTTCCGCGACGTCTTCCTCGCCCTACGCCTCTCGCGGCTTCTCTTTTTCCTACCTTGGGTCCGGCAGAGGACTCCTCGGTTCAGACTCAACCCCTCGCATACAATGAAACCGAAAATCTCCGCGGCACTCGGGGAATGCGGCACATGATTACCTACATCGAAACGGAGAACCGACCGGCAAGAAGAAGCGCCGCGCTTTCTCTCTTTCTCTCTCGTTCTCCTTCGTCTCCCGAAAACACCGCGATACTGCCACCTCGCGAAGCGAACAGTCACAACGCGAATCGAGTTCCACACACGTTGTTTCAAAAAGATCTGTTCCCAAAGATTACTATAAGAATACTAAAATTCGTTGTTTTATTAAAAAAAAGATTTATTCATAATATAGTAGGTATAGTTCAATAAAAAGAGAAATCTTTCATAATACTTAGCAAGCTTGAATTATCTCTCAATGAGCTTCGACGTTACGAATAGGATCTGCTTCAGACAGATATATTAAAACATGGTATAAAAGCCGCGCGACCAGACTGGAACACAGCCAGATGAAATGAATCGGCGAAAATCTACCGTCATTCACGTCAACGGTACAGATGTTGGGTGCGGCGATCAAACACGCGACATCTCTGCCTCTCGTGACTATGAACCGTTAAGATCGCAAAAGTTCGATCGGACTGATCTACAATCGTCCCGAGATCATGAATCGATTGAAACGGCATACCGCAGCTTACAGAAAAACTTTCGCAACGTAGAATATTAACGTGATTTTACTCCCGATTATGCATAAGTGATTATTAGAGATTTAATTTGCACATAAATGTTCAGCTATTTTGTTTTTATACATTACTGCATTTATTGCACGCATTACTTTTATGTCTGGATACTTTCAATTCGCTAGTATATTCTCAACATTCAATAGGTTCAATTTCTTCTGCAAGAAATGTTACCTTGACTACACATTTTTTTAATGACACACCAGTAATTCGATAAAACTTCTCAGTGAAGGCTCATGATGCTCGTCGCTCAAGGAGACTGTGTAGTAGCGCAATTATGCGCTCAGCAGACTCTTACTCCGCAGAAAAAGATGACGGATGCATCAGCTTACGCGAAACAATCCGCTTACGCAGGCAGGAAATATAAATTTCAAATTTCGCCGCACCGCTGGGATTTTTGCCGGAATTTCGTTGACTTAATTTCATATCCAATTAGATTGTATCGGATTACATCCGCGTGCAAAAACCCCATTCATCCGCCTTGAATTGTTCCTCTCTTCGAATATCCATTGGACAATTTGGTATCACAAGATAATTCGTGTCTTATCAAAATTGAAAGTATTATGCTAAACGTAAATATTATATAACAAGTATTAAACATGTGATTGTATTTTAAACGCAAGGTTTTGAAAGTGTATTTCATTTCTGAATCTTTTCGTAGTTGGTACGTGGAAGAAAGTTATGATCTCAAATCGAAGATAACTGAATGTATTCTTTTAAACGATTCTTTTAAAAACAATTATATCGATATTACTTTTGTAATCGGCGCATCATACCTTTTATACATGCGAATACGTTAATTATAATATTTCTCAGACGCATAGAGAAGTACAATCTTTCCGCGTTACACATCAAAACTTTCTTGGGAACGATTACAATTTGTCGGTGCTTAAATTATAGATTGCATTCGCTGACGGATTTTTATACATGGAAAGCTTAAAGAATATTGTCGGTCATGCTATCTGCGTTGTTTCTCTCGGTATTATGAATTAAATGCACATTAACCTTAGAAATGCGTAGCGCGCGATTACGATCAGGTAGAGTCGCGCTAATTAAAGGTGTACTAGACGCAGTCGTGCGTTAAACAATTCGTATGTATATTTAAACAAATGAGCACCGTCTGCACAACGTTCTGTAGGTACTGCCGATCTCTCACGCCTACGATTTCTTTGAAAAACGTATTCATGCAAATGAATTAATAGGCTAGTTATATAATACATGACTGCCCGAGATCGGAACCGCGCATAGGTTTTCCATGTGATTAAAAATAAATTAATGGGAAAAGAAATGGAAAAAGTATCATAAAACAATCTTTTGTTTCAATTCAAACGGTCGATAAATCAGCCCGAGTCGGAGGTCGACTTTCGTCTCTTTGCGGGTTATCGATTAACCAGGCAAGGCGATGAAAGAGTTCGATGAAATAATGATGGTACCAGGTCGATAAATAGTATGCCTCCTGCGCCCTTCTCTCAAGGGTGGAGAGGGGAGCGGGCCATGGGGCCCTTCGGGGCCCGCGCTAATGCCAGCCGAGAGAAGACAGCTATCAAAGGCCCGTATTTAAATATTATCAATGAAATTACAGTGCTCACTGCTTGCACAGCCAGCTCGGTCATTACCGACTGGCAATTCGGCCTCTTTAATCGCCGTTGTCAATACTAATCGACATCGTCGTTATTTAATATGCTCCGTCCCATTTTTCTTTTACGGATCCACCGAACCACCCGTTGCTTTGGCTCCTTCCTGCAACAGCCCTTGTGATTCTTCTTTACGTTCAATATCGCTATAGGTAATTAATGTAGATTATTGTGATACTTAACAAATTCACGTAACCACGTATTTCATGTATATAAGAAAATGTATTTCTTAGATCGCGTTATTTTGCCATAACGCTTCGTAATTTACAACATTAATCTACTTCTAATTAATAAATTTACACAAATGAGCGCATTTCTCCCGTTGTGTCAGCTGGCCGGAAAAACGCTGACCGTATTGTATAACAGAAATGCATAACGTAACGGGGACGATGGCTGCCGTCGTTACGTATTTTCCGAGTTTCCAAATCCATCGTTCGCTGGATGCACGCATAATAATCGCGAGCTTGCAATTAGTAACTGGTACGGCAAATAGTATCGGTGTTGCTATCTGCATTAAGTGCCATTACCATACCGGCGAACGGAGCAGCGATAGAAAGGAGTGGGAATAATTAAACCACTATGATCGCTATCTAAATAATTAGGACTTGGCGTGACTCTCTGCGTGCCGCTGTGTGTAACGTTCGTACGCGAACAGTCAGATCGTAGATTTCGCGAAGCGCGGGCATAATTAGGCGGGAGATATGAACGCGAAATCCGCGTATTTAAATCGCATCGTTGCGAGGAAGTCTTGTGTCCGAATCGCGCCCAGGCAGAACGAGTCTCGTCTGAAGACGCACTAAACTATTACGCGATATATCGAAAATAGGATACGTCCAGTTTACGTTGATTAACCATGATTATTAAAAATATATATTGGCGAAAAATTAACAAATTTGCTCGATAAACGCAGTCTTTCCATTAAATTACTACAATTGCCTTAAGATATGCACGTCTTGGAGATTTGGATTTCACAAATTTGCCAAAGATTATACAAACATTCACATAGTCGATTATCTAAGTCCACGTGCATAAGAAATTGATTGTGCAACAAGACGGAGAACACGCGGGATAATTCAACTTTTTACAAATCAATAGAGAATAAAAATGAGTCAAAGGTATTTATACATTTGTGAGTTTCACGCACCTACAATCTTCGAAGCATAAGTATTGCCCAGGCGATTAAATTATTATTGCGAACGAAATTACTGTCGTCTACGGGAATTTAATTGCTATTGGTACATACTACTATTTTTAAAAACAGGATGATACTCAGCATATTATTTTTGCCTTCTGTACTACATCGACGTAAGATATGCTTACATGAAATTTATTGAATCATTTACACATGCTTGACATTTTTCATTGATATTTTACATGGTAGCATATACAATCGATTCGCGAGTAAATTTCAAATATCAAAAATCTCATTATTTCACTTTATATATTGGCGCTGTTCTCTCGAAAAGTCACCATTATTACAAGTACGATTTAAATGGTGAAAATACTTTCTTTTTGCATGCCTCCTACCGCGTCGAAATAGAGAAACGGGGTCAGAAGGCAAATACGTGTCGGCACTGTCAAAGAGTTTAGCCGCAAGACACGCGAATCAGAGATGCGATCTGATAAGAAGCGGAGCATCTCGGTGTACCGCATACGAGCCCCTGCTGTGTCCACGCACCTTAAAGCACCATTCTCACGTGCGGCGACATAAGCAGGACCCACGTGCTCGAGATACTCTCGAGGCAGTCGCTAAAGAAACGCTGCATTAATATCCTAAATAATTGCACAGTATCTGCATACAGAAAGTTTATGTCTAATAAATCGTTTAAGTATTTGCAAACGGTTAAAATAAAAGTGGCACTTTGACTACTGCTGAAAGTACTTATCTATTAAGAAAGTAGTACAGATGAATATCGCAATATGATTTATTTCACGTGTCTGACAACGCGGGTTTTTATTAGATTAAGATACAGGCAATTAATTTTTTTAGACGCCATCGATAAAATCTATTTTCTTCATATAAGTTACGTAAACGATTATACCGGATATCTAAGTACGATGTAGATTACGCCGTTATAACGAAACGTGAGTGTATGCCGTCGAAGTAAGTAATTATTACCAAAGGACTGCGTTACGTCTTCGAAAGTTGCATTAATTTCGCTGCGCCGTTCGATGATCCCGGCGGTCACGTTCGAGCAATATCGAATAAAGACTGTGATTATATACGATAGTTGATGACGAACCTAAGCCGACCTATCCCGCGCGAGTCGGCAGCTTCGAGCTCGAAACCAATCCGTATCGGTCCAGTCTGGGATTAATCGGTGTTTTGTTCTGCGGCGAAGTGCTTATTAAGGCCATGCCTTATTAAACTTCACGGGCATGCAAACACGGATAGGATCCATGATGGTAGATTTGATCACGAATGAAATGGCGACCAGCCGTTGTATCAAGCCGAGGAACGAGTTTTATTACAAGCAATCGCGACCGACAATAATTAATTTAATCGCGCGGACAGTATCTAGCCTTAAAAATTGTACCGTAAAACTCGCGATATGTCTAAATTCTTTCGATTTATTTGTATTCTCGATCAATTTTTGCAAATTCTACATTCGTGCTGTTATCTCAATCCATTCATTTCGATATTCGGTTACATAACCGAAAAATCAAAATTTACCAGTTGTACAATATTCTTCAATAAATTTTTTTTATTCATTGTACAGTATCATATACTCAACATAATGGTTAATCTTAATTTAATCTTGTTAAACTTTTCGATAAAAGAAACAAAATTTAAGCAGTTTTCAATTTCAACGGGTTGCCATATAATGCCGTGCATCTGTGCGCCTTCAACTGATATCTCTCAGCATACTGACGTCCGCAGATATGACACTTGTATGGTTTCTCGCCGGTATGTGTGTAAATGTGATTCGCGAGCTTCGTCTTCACGCTGAAGCGCAGCTTGCAGAAATCGCACTCGAATCGCTTTATGCCGGTATGCCGATATCTGTGCACCTTCAAACCCCAAGATCTTCTGTAGCTCTTGCCGCAATCTTCACACTTATAGGGCTTGATACCTACAAATCGAATTAGTTATAACAAGTTGCATAATTTTTTGTATTTTACAAAATTTGAAGATACTAGGGCTAAAGTATTTCAAATCTTACAATAAAGTGCAAAAAATTTGATTGAAAAATTAGACTTATCCTAAGTAGTCACATATTAGTCTCAAATGCAGAGGAGTTTCTTCTTCGGTTTCTCAATCGTTTCGTTTTAAAATTAGAATTTCGATATTGAAAGAAAATATTCTAATATATATTTTTACGTCATATAAAATATACTCTTATATATTGCATACGTAATGAATATGTATGCGTAAATCATCCACTAACATAATAATTAGTAACATATGTATGCAAAGTATAAATCGCGGAGGTACGGTATTAATAACCGTAATATCTTGGAAGCTGCAGAAGAATGGATTTTTTAAGCAGGCTGATAAGTAGCAAGTTGATTCGCGGCGGAGAGAAGTTCGCTTTCATACATTCACCCCGGTTAGACAGAGGTTAATTAAAAGTCCGGAATACATTTCCGCCGCGGAACGCCCAGGTCGCGCGAGAAGCGCCAAAGTATGCGTACGTTGAAGCACGTTGAAAAATAGGCTTATGCATGATCATTTGTACGCGTTGCGAACCAAGCTTCCGATTATCTCGAAAAATTCTTTTGTCCGCGACGATCGTTTCGCAGAGTAAACGCTTCGCTGGATTTATATGAGAAGTTAATGGTCCTGCGGCCTCGACGCGCGATAAAGGAAAGGGGGAGAGGTAACAGAGATATAAATAACGAGATCTCGTGCAGCAGAACAGTCTAATCAGGCGGCAGACACCTTCGGCTTCCTCTGCCGGGCGGCAAAGAAGTTGTGAGAATATTCACAAGCTCACCGTAATGCGCCAGTATGTGATGTTTCAGTGCGCCTTTCAGGTGGAAACGATGCTTGCAGATGTCGCACTCGAATCTTCTCACGCCCGTGTGTGTCAGCTGGTGTGTCTTCAGCACCGACGATCTCTTGAATTTTGCCGGGCAGAGATCGCACGCGAACGGCAAGTCCGCGGTGTGGACGATCATATGGGTCCGGAGGCTGCTGGCCCTCAGGAAGCTTTTGCCACAGGTCGTACATTTGTGGGGCCTCACATTAATATGCATCAACATATGATCGCGCAACGATTGATGGTGTACCAAGTTTTTCTTGCAGACAGGACACTTAAATGTTCTTCTGCCAAAGTGTACTTTAGATTGGTGCTTCTCCAATGCACGTTTCGTCTGTAACAGTGATATCTAATTGCCAATTGTTCGAATAAATAAACGATTCTTAAGTGACACGCGAAAATTATGAAGTAGATGTTTGGAAGAGTTGTTAAATGTTTTTTTTTTAGACTTTTACGTTGAGTGATTTTTGAATAGATTAGATAGATCGATTGTGACTTTGCATGGAACAGAGTGCTTCATCAAGCATTCATTAGTCTGAATACAAAGTAAGCGCGTCAGTTTGTGAAGCAAAGAGTTCGAAAAGATCTGATATTAAGATCATTACATCTACGAATGGTTATTAGCATTAACTACCTGAAATTGGAGCTCGCATTGTCTGCACGCGAAAGGCTTCGGAATAAAATGCATATGCAGGTGATTCTTTAAGGTTGACGATCTTGATGGAAATGATAATTGCATTATTAGTAACAAGTACTGTATAGCGACGAAGGCCATTTCAGGCCTGTCAAGAAGCAGTAATATTGGAGAATATGTTTCAAATAGTCGTAATAATATCTGTGTTTCGAATATACTTGTATGCAAAAAGAATATTAAACGTATTAATAATTTAAATCGGATCTAACTCCAATTTCATTAAAATTCATGATATATACAAGGTATTTCATTAGTACACAATTCTCTTATAAGCAATGCAAGGTTAAAATAAGAGTTGCTATTATTCGGATACCGTTCATACCCAAAGAATTGCTTCCAACAAAATCCGCATTGGAAAAGTTTTCCATGGCTTTGTCCAATCATGTGAGTCTTGAACTCGACCTCGTTCGGAAATTCGATCCTGCAGACGTTGCACATTAAAAGCTTTCCTCTTGTCAGTGCCACGATGTATTCCTTTAAGTCAGTGTACTCGTCCATTTTTCTCTGCGAAAGTGAAACGCTTGCATTTCTTTGACAGTCCGATTTTGGAGTCTGTTCGGAATTTTCATGACGCGATGCTTCTTCTGATGGTTCGTTCTTGACGTACTGTTCAATATCTAGCTCGTCTGAAAAATTTTCGATCTCGTCCAGGATCTCGGTCTTTATTTTAATCTGTAAAACAGAAAACAGTATCAATATCCCGCAATTTGCATATAAAATTGTAATATAAGTTTTCTCCAAGCTATCCTTTAACATATTGTTTTTTAATGTTTTCTTTAATGGTAAAAGTAAAATATTTATATTTATATTTTTGCAAGTTGGAGTTTTTACGTATTTAACTTATTGTAGCCATAGTAAAATTTTATATTATTTACATATTTTTACCGATGCAAATAACGCTTGGTAGCGGATAATCACATTTGACACTAAATGAGAAGTGTGAAATAACGAATTGAGTTGTCATAATAGTTGTAACCTATAAATACGCACCGGAAGGCATACTTCGTGACAAGCTTTGTTAGGGTTACCGATAAACTCGAGATCTTTCGTGTCGAATATTGCTCGATTCTGTCGAGAATGATCGCTGATAGCGAAATTCTTACCCTCCATAATTATTATGGAGTATATGTATCGCCAGCGAGATTGCAAAATGTTGAACGAAAATGTTACGTGATAACAGAAAACTGCTGAAACAATCGAGCAATGAATATAAACACATACTGCGCGTTCAACTGATTGTGAGTGAAAAGTACACGCAAACTTTAGAAAGAGACAGCATGGATTATCAATTAATATCTGGAGGGGGCAAAAATTCAATATGGCTACTGTGTTTGACAGGTTGTACACTAGGAATCACTAATGCCTTCCCACCTGAATTTGTGTACATATCAACACATTTATACGTTTTGCATATACTATACATACATGGAAAATGTATATAGGTATGTGTTCTACCTGTGCCTAAGTTCATATGGGAAGGCATCAGTGATTCCTAGCGTACAGTGCGGTGCATTAATTCGCTTCGGGTTGTATTGTCAAAAAAACATAATATGTTTAAACAATCAAATAATTTTTGCCCATCCCTAATTATTACCCGAACCGAATTAATGCACCGTATTATAGTGTTAAAGGTTACCTGCCACTCAAATAGACTAACACAATCCAACCAAGACGCTTCTTAAAAGTATTTTTACGAAATACGAAGTTAAAGTGTTCTTTAGTTCTTTATCATTTCAGATATTTTAACAAATTTTAATCATTTATTTCGATTTGTTGGTATTTTATAGAAGTGATAAACGTATAAATAGATAATTTTTGTATGTTTCCACAATTTTATTTATCTCTGTACTTTATTCTAAAATAATGTTATTGAACCCAGAGCCTTGATAATTGCCTCTGTGAGCATACAAATGCGCCAAAATGTTCGCAAGGTTGCTTGAGAAACGACGAGACGCGGAGAGGAAATATATACCGCGCGGCGAGTTTATCACTTTATCCTAATTGGCCGGTTTCGGCATTAATTTATTCGTATTATTAATCCAATTACGCGCAGGGATCCAATTATGAAATCAGTACGCCATTAAGTTATCTATTCCTTCTTTCTAGATGTAACCATGTTAAGACCTCACGCGGATTAATTACAAAAGTTGTTAGAGAATCTGGCATGATATTTTATTACCTCGTGAATAATGAGTGTAATTGCAGCGAAGCGTAATTTATATTGCAGTCAAAGTAAATATGTATAAGCCGAATGAGGTAATCATGGGGGTATATCGTTGCTTTTGACTTAACGAATGGCCGGGAAGATGCGAAGATATATTCGTATGCTGCGTATTATCAAATATCGTGAGATTATCGACAGTCCGGAAAGTTATATACGCAGGGATTTTAATATCTGCACAATGACACGCCAAGCCCCTAATTAAGATGAAAAATGTAACGGGAAGATAAGACGTACGGAATATTAAGATTCGTTACGATACGAGACCATAGTGGAATATATTCTTAATTGTATCTGTACGGAGAAATATACCAAGTCGAGCAGCATTGACTATTCCGAGTTTTATTCAGCGTAATTAGCGGCTATTGCCGGTTGCTGTCCGTTTGCATAAAATAGTGCAATTGAATGAAATTAGAGGAAACGAGTTGCGCGTATTCCGTTTACTTGGAAAACCTGAGGAGGAAGTATCGCGCTCCGAATAATTCTTGCAGGCATAGGAAGTAGCTTATTTATGATCCCTCCGCCCACACTGCTTATATGCGCGTTTTTATCTGCCGCAACTAAACAATTAGATTTTCAATGAAGCTCTGATTATGGAATATTTTTATACGTAAATGGAGTGTGCGGTCCTAATCGTTTCCAATTAATCACGATCACACGTAGATGTCGTGATTAAGATAAAGTTATACATTAATTAATCAATTCTAATTGCAGCATATTATTATAGGAGAGGAAATCAAATCTTAATTCTATTAAAGACATTAAAAATAGGAAACGGAAGGAAATGACAATGTAATGTTTTATAGACCCTTATCGATTGGAAATGTGATTTAATATTAAAAATCGTCAACGCGCCGTTTCTGTTTTAACATAAAATCTGTAGTTTTAAGATTTTTGACATTTAACTGAAGAGTGAAAAAGAGAAAGAGAGTGGTGTATCTTTTTACTTGTTATTAATATATAATAGATTTATGATCATATTCATAAAAAAACTTGAACTTTGTTAAATTAATAATTTCAAAAAGATAAGAGAAATGTAGCTTTTTAGGGAAAAATGTGTAGCAATTCTAGTATTAAACAAAAAAATACTGTTTTACATTAATCCAAAACTATAACGTACGATAAACTCTTAGATAAAGGCCAGCTACATAAGCGGTTTGTACCGGGTGTCAAAAACGAAAGTAGATTCGTGCAGACTGCTCACTTTCGTCCTCGGTTATTTTCCCTCTCGATCTCGCCATCGTTTTCGTTGTCGCGGTCGCGAGCGAGAAATTCAGTGGAAAATCCTCTCGAGCGGTCAGACGTGATCTCGCGCGCGCTATCGACGCCTGTAGAAGCTCAACATTATTAGTCTCAGGCGTACGAAATGCATTCAACATTGTGAAATGGACAATCAGGAACTAGATCGTCGTCGTAATGCGTCACGTTTCCCGTAAATTTTACGCAAGGTATCTCGGAACTGTCGTTTCTCGTAAGCTAAAGATATAAGAAAAATTGGGAGAAGTGTCGCTTCGTTCAACGTTGAGCTAATGAAGAGAACGTTTCGCCTTAATTGCATATGCATTATGTACGTATACGTATATAAAAAATGGTCGAGCATAAGCGATGAGTAAAATGCAGTTATTGAATCCACAGCAGCTCGTCCATCACATTTCTCTGCAGAATAAGTCGTCGATAGACGGTTCTCGTCGTATCTTACGAACAATCCGTTCCGCCCTGGACATTTCTCCGGCTCGCATTACGAATCGTTGCATTATTAAAGCGGCCTGCTTTTCCGCGGCTTTCCCACGGCGGTTTCCTGCCGTTTAACTCCTCGACTCTGGCTTTGCATCTCCACGTGCCTTGCCTGACGACGACGTCGCGCACGCGTCGCAAAAAGCGCCAATACTCCTCCCGAGAACGGTCCCCGTCGATCGTGCAAATAAATCCGCGACGGCACATGATGTGCGCTCGCTCGCGGGCTGATGCATTATTTCATGGAACTGCGGTAAGACCTGTGCGACTGAACTCGCCGCGACGGTAAGACGAGCAGACCGAGAGAGACGGACGACGGCGCACGAGCGAGCGGGCGCGTGTGGGAAACTCGTCGGATGCATTATGTATTTATCGCTTTACTTACTTAGTTGGGAATTACTTTGCCATCGTAATGACTTTCAGCGTATAGCGCGCTATCTTAGGAATGCCATACCCCTGATTTATCGCCCGGACCCGTTTTTCTCGGACCATTTTGTCGCTAACGTGCTACCTGCTCCGATGAGCGTCCGCGACCGTCATCGACAACGAGCTTGACCCGCGTCGCGAGTCCATTGACCTTCCTGGATCCCGAATTGCAGTAATCGGAGCGTAAGTTAAAATGCTTACGGAAGAATCGTTGTCGATCGGACGAGGAAGAAAATTAACTTAATTTTGAAAGTCTCATTTGAGCATTAAATTGGTACCTTAAGTAAGCTCAAAATATCAAGACAAATGTTCAAGAAATTTGCTGCATTGAGTCACGTAGTGTCTTTGACTCTTGGGCGTAGTAAAAGATTCTGCATCAGTGAATGGGTAAAGCATTCGGTGTAAATTTTACACACACGTTATATATATTGATTAAATATCAAACTGCTCGCCAGAGTTCAATCTCTTATACGCAATGGATACGTTTGTGTGTAGAACCGCGCACCGCGCTCGCGCGAGTTGCCGTGTGGATAATATCGGGAAATTGAATACGCGGCACGTATCTAGCATTAATGAACTAATTATGGCGAGGCTATATCAAGGCGGTGTCTGAGAGCGGCGCCTTCAGCGAAACGCCGATATCGTCGACGCCAAAGAAATTGTATTTATTTTTTCATGCAATCATTTCGCTAATTGCCTCCCGCTATGCCCACGTGCATGAGAGACGCAATAAATATTCGTGATTAATTAAGAATCCGAGATATGCGGGCGTTTCATAAGAGAGAAGGAGAAAGAAAAAAGAGAATGCGCTTATGGGTTCTCCTAATTGGACGCATCGTACCGCCGTTTTGCGCCTCGGACAATCTTTCTTGACGTTTAAAGAATTCTTTACTGTAACATCATACAATTGAAAAAAATTCAACACGTCACACGTATTGTTTTTTGTTTAAAGGCAATTCTGACCTGTTTATTTAATTAATCAATTTTCCTGTTTTCGCCAGTTGTTCTTTAATTCTTCCCGATATCCAATCTAAAAATGATATAATTGTATGTTGTGTACGATATTAAGAAACATAACAATAACAAAAAATATTAAAAAAATTCTTAATTTGTAATTACGCTCATATATCCAAATGAATTTGTGATTTTCACTGTAATCGAAATATTCTTTGCATAATAAGGCAGCTATATCAAAAGTTATATAACAGCGGATGTTATATAAGAACAACGTAATTAAGTAAATAAGTAGAAAGGAACATCTAATTAGCTTTGCACTTCAAAGTTCGTATTTCGTCATTCACTTGCACATAAGCAAAAATAAAACGAGATAGTTATAATCGACGAAGTATTAGAAACGTATATTAAATATTATAAAAAATATGAATGCAAGATATTTGCTTTATTGACAATGTCGTTGATATTGTTGTTGATACTATCTGATATTATTCCTTATACGTTTAGCGAGATTGAAGATAGCATATTTTTAAAAAAGTCGAAAAGAAACACGCTATCGGTTCTCTTATCCGATTACTCATGTTGAATAATAACATGTTAAAATCAAATAAATTCTTACACATCTACATTGTATATACGTGGACATTTTCTTATCTCTCATGAGTTTACTGAATGACGATTCATTATCAGTATTATCGATTAATCTATATAATTCTTGTTAAAACACGTAGCTACGATATATCGTATTTATTAATTTTATCAATCGCAGATATACATACTTTGTTTCAAAGCAATTGTGAATATTTTGAGAAATGAAAAATACAACTGCACATTTTAATTCTAAACTGCACAAATTATATGAATCTAACTCTA